AGTGTTGCCCAAATGGCTAGTTTCGTGCCCCTGGAGGCTAGACCAATTCCACCTTTAGGAGAGAGTCACACACAGGGTGGGTTTATCATGAGTTTATTGATTGCGCAAGCAATGTCAACAGAGGAGCTGATGCTCTAAGCAGTGTTGACCCCGAACTTCTCTCGAGGTTATATTTTTATAGCTTATATAGACAAAGGGTTACAGCGTGTCATACAACTATTGGCAGTACCACAATTTTCTTGTTATGTTTTATCTTATGGGCGAGGCTTAGTTCGCTATTGGTTAGTATCTCCTGTCAAGTTTAGTGCATGCGTATTTTAAAAGCAGAACTGCGGCAAAAAGTTCTGTCGCATGCGCAGAGGAAAAGGGGAACTGCGACAAAGTTAATGTCTTTTAGTAACCTTATACCTTAGTGTAACTTCAGGGTATTAGGCAAGTATGGTTATAAAATGTAGAGCAAGCAAGAAGGAAAAAGAAACCCACAACTCAGTCGTTAGGCCTCGTGTTTTTTATACAAGGGATCATGAGGGACTCATACAGTTATTATTTAAGAGAGGCCCAGGTCATGATGTATTTTTACCATACTCTGAAGTAATTAAAACATGACAACACTGATAGAATTTAATAGTACTATACTATTTATACAGTATTCCTACATTAAGAAGCAAAGGAAACCCTAGTATTGGAAACACAAGGCAGAATGAAATCATTGTTGCTTTAAATATTTGTAAATACTATACTCCTACTATTTGCTGTCTGACATCTGAAATTCTTACTCTTTTTTTCTACAGAAAGACTCCTGCAGAAAATACTGGCAGGTCAAAGATGTATGTCTATAACATTTAAAATATACTATTAGCTTTGGGAATGCAACACTGCCCTGTGGGCAATGTTTGTAGATTGTTTCAAATTTATTTACAGTAGAAGGTCTATACAGGCACTCCTCACTTAACGACTGAGTTCCGTTCCTGCGACTAGGTCATTAAGTGAATTGGTTGATAAGCGAGGAGCCGCCCCTTGATACTGCGTGCCTTGGCTTGAGACGCCGCGCTGCCGTTTCAAAGACCAAAGTGCTCGTACTTACGACCAGTTCTCGCTATTCCGCGCGGTCGTTAAACAAGTAGGTCGTTAAGTGAGGAGTACCACCTCACTTAAACCTCAGCTGAAGCACCTTTGCAAATACCTAACCTCCAGTCCTACAAGTACATAGTACCATTGACTCCTGGGGCATGTCCCAACATCTGCGGCACCACAAAATGCATGCAATGCAAACCACATGCACTGCACATGCAGGAGTTCACTCTGCTGCTAATTTGCTATGTCAGAAAAGTGGCACGTGGTGGCAGCATGCACAGCCCAGAACCAGAGCCTGGTCAGCAAGAGCTGGGTAGGGAGATAAATTGATTAGTACAATTATTACTCATGTATATGCACTGAATTATTTATACAAATTTACTGACTCATTAAATACATATATAACATTGCCTTGCAGGACTATCAGTTCATCAGAACAAATTACATCTCAAAGGTCAACAACTTCTGTGGAAGAGCAAACTACTACAAGGTATTACAAGCAGATATAATCAAAATGTTTGACATGATATAACAACAATAATTGTTGATGTAGCGATATGTGTACTATACTGTACTAGATCTCTTAGACTGGAGTATTTGGTGGGTTACTTTGGTACTGTAGATGGTCAAACCAAGGAACTAGAAGCTAGAACTGAGTTCTAATCCTGGTTCTTCCACTGATTTGATGTATTACTTTGCAGCAGACATTGCAAATCTTTGGGTATGTCTGCACTGTAGGCTAAATGAGCTAGCTTGGGTACTTGGAGCTTGAAGTATAGTTATGGTACCTTAGAGCTCAATATCCAGAGTGTAACTAAGGGAGACTAGGGCAGCCACCCTATTTTGCTTACTTGGGTGTGGGGAAGATGGGGGGGAAAACACTGATGTTGTAGCCACAGTGTCATACTACCAGTATGGCGGCACCTGTGTGTCACTAGTGTCCCTGGCACCCAGCTGCATTGTTATGCCTCTGGTCAGTAGGAGCTACCATATTTACTCAAATCCAAGATGAGATTTCCCCCCCTCATTTAACTTGGGTGGAGGGGGAGAAAGACCCTTGTCTTAGATTCAAGTATGAGGTGACTGCTGTGGCTCTGGCCTCAACCTGGGGTCAGGACTGGAGCCACAGCTGCTGTCTGCCTCTTGTAAGCCCCTGAAGCCTTGGCCCTGCCCACCCTGCTTGCCTAACCACCCCTCCTCCTTCCCCCACTCCGCCACTTACCCTCTGGCTCTGGCAGGCTTTGCCTCTGCTCCAGTCCATGGCATGGAGCCTGACTGCTCTGGCTCTAGCCCAGTTTGGTAACAGACTATGCAGCAGTGGCAGCTTCAGTCAGGCTCCAGAGCCTGGGCTGGAATTGCTGCCACCATTGACACTGCTACCATGCTGGGCTAGGGCTGGAGCAAGCATGTGCTCTGTGATCCAGGCTAGAGCAGGGCCAGAGCCTGCTGGAGCTGGAGGATAAGTGGTAGGGAAGCCTGCAGGGAGTGGGAGACAATGTGGGGTAGGAGGCTTGCAGGCATTGGGGAAGGCAGGCAGCAGGGAGGGGCTAGTGGTGGGAAACTAAGGAGAAAGGGCCAGGCTGCTTGACCCTACCATGCAACTGTCACCCCCCACACCTGCCCCAATTGCTTGCCCCACCACTGCTTCCCCCCTGCCACTGCCTTCCCCATCACATGCCCCGATACCACCTCCCCACAACCTGCCCCACTATCACCCACCCCCCACTGCCTACCCCCTGCCACTGCTTCACTGATGGGGAAACAAATTTAAGGTGACTCTGATAATTAGATTCTATACATAGAAAAGTATAACACATTTATAATTTGCCGGGGGTTGCCTTAAGTTCAGTTAGGTAAATCTGGTTATTTAGTGTATTCCTCAGCCTAGAACTAGCTAGCTCGGGTATCTCTATATACTGCACTGCATTGTGCACCGTAAACAAGGTCTTTGTGCTTTTATTTCTCCACATATAAGATAGTGACACAATGGAGATTGAATACATGCCTTCATAGTGCTACATAGGTAGAACTGCCATGTTGATACAGAGTATTGTCAGTGCTTGAGGCAGAAGAGTAATGTGATGAAATAAAAAAAACGGTTTTAACAGATATATTTACTCTCCTGGTAAGAGTTACAGCCTGGATAAAAATGGTCATTGAAAGGTTTTCAGAATAATATTAACATATGACAAAATTGTTGATGAAGAATGCTTGTGGAAATACTGATTACTGAAATCCAGGGAAATTGTGAGGTTCTGTCAAAATGGAAGTGGTATATTTTCCACTGCAGTCAGTAACAACAGTGCTTGATTTTGTGCCCTTTATTAATATGATGCCTTGGCTATGCAATTCAGCTATTTAGCTATTAATGTGAATTAATTACAATAAAGCCAATTTTAGTTATGTATTGAATTACAGTGATACACATTTGCTGTTTTTAATTGGAAATATAAAAGGCTACAGATTTTAAAGTCCTTTTTAATGAGATCAATTTTCTTGATCTGATTTACAAAGTATAATTTGGTGGAATCTAAAGCTACAAAACATTCCTTTTTAATCCTTCAACCCCCTTAGTACATTAGGATAGTATAAAATAATAAAGGAAACACCCCCAAGATGTCTGGCGGGGCAATTCTCTAGGAAGAAAGCAATGCTTCGATAAAACATTTTTGTTAACACATCCGAGAGATCTTACAGAATAAAATATGCCAGTGTATTAACTAGGGAAGTCACAGTCATTCTTTACTCATAAAAGCTTGTTAAAGTCTTACTTAATCTCCATCCTCAATCAGTCCATATTCATCCTCCCCTAGTGGTTCTCATTAACATATCAAGCTTTATATTACAGTTCCTCCACTGGTGGAAAGCTATAGAAATAGCATTTGACTGATCTACAAGTTACTATGGAAACCTTGCTCTACAGTTATTTGTGTCAGTATGTAAACTATAAGTAGCCTTATTACATAGTGGACTAAATTTGTCCCTTTATCCCTGGTAAAATTGTACTCAATTTCACTTATGCTTCAGATGGCATTCAGTGACAATTAATGATCCATTTTCATGAACCTGTAAATTATGCTATATTTCAGCCAACAAAAGTGCAGTATAAACCTCTCAAGAGAGACATCTTTTTCTTTCTCTTAAATATGTTATATTAATGCTAAGACTTTGGGAATATTTATACCACACAAAGGAAATTTAACAGTTAAATGAAAAATACCTGTTCTAGTAACATTGAAGTTTAATAAAATAACGTTTTAGCCAAAATAAGAAATCCTTTACTGATACACATTTTGGTTCAAAACTATAATATTAAAATGCATTTTTAAAAGGTACGTATTTTCTTGTTTGATTGATTTTGATCTGGGGCAAGGGAGGGCAATTATTTTGGGAGGAGGGCCACTTACTGAGTTTTGGCAAGCCATTGGGGCAGCCAGGGGCAGATAAATATTGATTTTCTAAATTTTTTTTTGGTTGGGGGGGGG